GTTGTGAATGAACTGTCCTCGGAGGCTAGGAAGTAGATTGTCTGAAACAAAACAATACACAAATTCTCGATTAATTTATAGCTGAAATTTTTAGATAGCTGAAAATTTTAGAACTTGATTAATGCAGGACAAAGCTTGGCCATTTCTGAAGCCTCTCCTGGTCGACCAAGAGCATGAGTTGTTTTTGAGCGTTCCAGGAACTATAAAGTTTCGTCAATCTGAATTTTGTTGAAACATATTGGTCAGTCTGAATTTTGTCATTTTATCATGTAAACATAACTTGACCTTGTGTAATCTTTAAAACTTATAAAATCAAGTCAATTGACTACAGAAAAACCTCAAGTTGAGTTCAACCTCAAGTTTCTTCCAAACCACAAATTTCTAGCCATCAGTGTTCAAAATCAACCTTTTTCTAAAGACCCGTAAGAGACTGGAGATTCCAATGCTTTAAGCCAACACTCAACATGGATGAGTCGGAAAAACTTTGGGAAAATCACGAAAATGATAAGAAATTCGTGGTTCATTCAAGTCTAAAACAGACAATGCTGCGATTGTCAGCTTTGTTTTTCCCTCGCATTGACAAATGCTTGTCATGTCAGAACATTTCACAACCGAACCGTTGCACAACAAAAGCTTTTGTTCATTAAATTCATTAAATTAAACTCAACCACAAATTTCTAACTTCATTAAATTCTACTATTCCAGTTTGATTGGAAATGGAGTACCCATTGTCCATCAGAAAGATTTTCCTTTAAAACTTATAAAATCAAGTCAATTGGCTATAGGAAAATCAAATTTCAACCTCAAATTTGTTCCGAAGGAAATCGTGAATATCTTGACTAAAATCGCATACGCTATTAGTCAAGGAAATCGTGAATATCTTGACTAAAATCGCAATGCGATATTAGTCAAGGAAATCGGTCAAATCTTGACTAAAATCGCATACGATATTAGTCAAGGAAATCGTGAATTTCTAGGCAAAATTTCTAGGCATCAGTGTTCAAAATCAACCTTTTTCTAAAGACCCGTAAGAGACTGGAGATTCCAATGTTCTAAGCCAACGCTCAACATGGATGAGTCGGGAAAACTTTGGGAAAACCACGAAAATGATAAGAAATGAATAGGTAAAATGAGAAATTCGTGGTTCATTCAAGTCTCAAAGAGACAATGTTGAAATTGTCAGCTTTGCTTTTCCTTCTCATTGACAAATGCTTGTCATGTACGTACATTTATCCGTACCACTTCGCGCCGACTTGGCCAATTCTGGGTACGGATCTGGCTAGTGAAGGAGGTACGCAAAGATGATCATTCGTTTAGTTATCTTACAATTTCTAAGCTGACTTTATTGACATAGTTAACAATTTAACCATTGAATCTTTTTGATTGAATTCTGCAAATTTCGCAAAATTTAGGTGTTTGCGTTGTTCCACAAGTCTTCTCAGGCAAAACACCTACGGACACAATTCTCGACTTTTCTTGGTATTGCTCAAGCGATGGATCGGTAATTATTCAAATTTTAACTTTAAATGGGTACTTCGGCCTAGAAAGTTGACTTTCAAGAATCGCGATCATTATTGGATGCGTTTTAGTCTCCTCTACAACTATTTCCTATATGGAAAACCAGATTTCCAATTGAGAAATGACGAAAAACGCGATTTTTACTTTCCGCGCCACCCTAAAACGTGGATATTTGGGCAAAAAGTATATAAAGGTTCCGTCCAATTGCATTTTTGGATTCCAACAGTAAACAGTAAACAGTAAACATTAAACAGTAAACAGTAAACATTAAACATTAAACAGTAAACATTAAACAGTAAACATTAAACATTAAACAGTAAACAGTAAACATCTACACTCCCAAAAAGCGCATTTTTTACACTAAAAACTTAATTAAACAGTCATTTTTCAATGAAAATGGCTACAATTTTTTTTTTATGAGGAGCTGACGATGTGTGAAAAAAAGAGGGAAAAGTTTGAATTTCAAAATGTAAAGAAACAGTTTTTATCAAGCCAATGTTCTTTCTCAAGTTTTTATCAACCCAAAAACCTTGTCTTTACATTTCAAAACATGTAGGCATGCAGTGAACTCTATCAACTACTTTGAAATTTCCAAGTTTTGTGAAAAATCTTTCAATGCAAAATGCATAAACTTAAAAATTTAATTCAAAGGCCTCAGAAAACAAATTTTCCAAAAAAGCAAAAAGAATTAACGAGAAAGGATTCGAATCCAAGCCAAAAAAAAACGCCATAGGTTCCATATACAAGCACACTCTCCGCTAAACCGACGAAGCCGTTTGGAGGCTTTCTTGTGGCGGTGCCATAAAGAGTGCCATAAATTTAACTGAATTTTCTATGTCAGATTCCTCGCGTTTGTGTGCGAGTTGGCCGCTAATTTCTGCAGATTCAGAATCCCCATGTCTGATTCTATAAAATGCACTCGGTCTCGAGTAGATTCTCAACTTTAAGCTGAGAACGTTCCCTCATAAGCTTTGTTAGGCAAGGTAGGGTAAGGCCAGAGCATTATCCATAAGCCAGATCCAAGAACTCTTTATGAGAAAAACAGGCACAACCAAAAAACATGGACAGGCTCTGGCCTTACCCTACCTTGCCTAACAAAGCTTACGAGGGAATGTTCTCAGCTCAAAGTTGAGAATCGACTCAAAGCCAAGTGCATCTTATAGAATCGGACATGGGGATTCTGAAACTGCAAAAATTAGCTGCTAACTCGAACGCAGGGAATCTAGTATAGAAAATTCGGTTAAATTTCGGACTCTTTATGGCACCGCCACAAGAAAGCCTCCAAACGGCTCCGTCGGTCTAGCGGCTAGTGTGCTAGTTGACGGAACCTATGACGTTTGTTGGCTTGAGTTCGAAAACTCCCTGGATTCGAATGCGATTGGCAGCTAATTTTTTTCAGATTCAGAATCCCCATATCCAATTCTACAGTGCGTTTCAAATTCTTAAACGCACCCTCTAAAATAGCGGATTTTGCATTTTGACCACCGCTACAACTATTAATCTTTTTCTATTAGAAAGAGCATGTCTTAAAACCTAAATAACACGAAAAAGAAGCATACTGTAAAAAGTAAAAATTTTCAAAATAGAAACTTTTTGCTAAATCGACCGTTTCAAATTCTTAAACGCACTATGAAAATATTTTTATTTATCGACACAAATTAAAAATCAAAGGTTAAAAATCAAAACTAATAATCTGTACGCGCACCAGAACGATTAATTACTTGAAAAATGCGGTCTGGCATTGAATTGATGAGGTTTTGAAGAGCAGAGACGTCGAGATCGCTCCAGGCCAAACGGATCGCTGTTTTAGGTACAAATATACGTCTTGAAACTGACGATGATTTTTGTAGGCAGCTTGGACAAGTATTCGGCATAAATTCCCTATCGGATTGACGTCAGGAGATCGAGCGGGTCAGTCCAAAGTTGCAATGTTGTTGTTGTTCAGCCAGTCTCCGCTGTCTCCGGCTCGATGAATTGACGTTCCATCAGCACAAAAGGCGGCCCAAACCATCACAAAACCACCGTCAAAGTTTTGAGTTCCAAACACCATCGGATCACGTCGAAGATCCTTCCAATAGTAGTCGACGCCATTGGGACCATCCCAATTTCATTTCTTCTCATCGGAAAAGATCACCTAAACGCTAAAAAAATAATAAAACATAAGCGGCTTTCTAACCATAGATCGATCCTGATTCATATGAGCCTTGGCGAACTCCAATCGGGCTTTCTTGTGCCAAAGCTTCACGACCGGCTGCATGTTCAATAATTGTCGATCGATATGTGGATTTTCCGTGACGACTCGCCAAATTGTCGACTTCGAAGCGTCGATTTTCAGTTCTGTTTTCACTTCATTGATCGTTTTTCCGTGGATTTTGTTCACAATATGGCGTCTAGCTCGCGGCGTAAGCTTGGTTTCGGTCCTGGCTTCTTCTTTGGTGCAGAAACGAACTCGAACTTTCTATAATTTCGCACGGCAGAGTCGGATCGGCCAAAATTTTTTGCGATTTTCCTTATTCAGTCGCCAATCCTCAAACGGGCATCAATCTGCCCTTTATCATAATCCGTGAGCAGCTTTCCGCGTGCCATTTACCAGGAAATTAACAAAAATTATAAATTTAATAAAAAGATATGCACAACAAAACGAAAAATTTCAAATAACAACAGCAAAGGCAGGTGCGTTTAAGAATTTGAAACGGTCGATTTAGGAAAAAGTTTCTATTTTGAAAATTTTTACTTTTTACAGTATGCTTCTTTTTCGTGTTATTTAGGTTTTAAGACATGCTCTTTCTAATAGAAAAAGACTAATAGTTGTAGCGGTGGTCAAAATGCAAAATCCGCTATTTTAGAGGGTGCGTTTAAGAATTTGAAACGCACTGTATAAGATGCACTCGGTCTCGAGTCGACTCTCAACCTTCGGCTGAGAAAATTTCCTCGTAAAAATTCGTTTTTCGACAATTTCACCAAGTACATTTGAAAAAACCTTAAATCTGAGTTGACGGAAAGAGCTTAGAATTTTGAATTTTATCAAAAGTATTGGATAAAAATCAGTTTTTAAATGCTAATACTCGAGTCGATTCGAATCGAGTCGCTTTTTTCGACTTTTTTCAAGTCACCGCTTTTTTAAATATCTTAAACCAAATTTTTTCTTTAAATTCTTTAAACTTAAGCTATCAATTCAAAGTTTTCCCTCTTTTTTCACACATTGTCAGCCCAGCATCAAAAAAATTGTAGCCATTTTCATTGAAAAATTACTTTTATTAAGTTTTTAGTGAATTTTATAGTTTGAGCCAAAAACTCAGTTAAGAGAAAACTTAAATTGATCAATTCACTGTTTCTTTTAGGTAACTGATTTGTTGGATTGTGACCTAACTACATCAAAACTTCCTTTCAATGTCACTGAAAATGAAATAAGCGACTTCGAGAATTGTCATACAATGTTTGCACAAATATAACTGATAATTTATGACATTTTTAGCTTAACGATGGATAAATTGACGTTGAGAATGTGTTCCTGGAATTTCTCGGTCAAGGATGATCTTATTAATTTTGAGTTGAACTGGAATCCGGAAGTCTCGATAAAATCGAGATCATCCACCGCCTTTTTGATTCGAATAACTGATTGGATGAGTGGTGGGGAATAAATTTTGATTCGAAAAACAAAACTTTAACATTTACAGAGCTACACGAGTATCGAATGATGTTTATGCTCGAAATGATGTCCACATTCGAGATTCAAATCGTTGAAAGCGATCGTCCGATTTGGCTCGCTTTGTTTTTCGCTGATAATGGATTGCATTTCTTGAAAAACATTCAATCGGTTGGGAAAGATTTGAACAAGATTGACAAGAGATTTTTTGTAACTACCGCGGTAGTTACAAAAAATGTCTTGTTTCAGAAAGTTCAACAGTTAAAAGACTTAATCTATTCAGAACCCAACAAACCCAAACTGTTCCTACAATTTTCTCGTAATTGGGCCACCTGGAAAAGATGCTGATGGGGACTATCCATATTACGGTGAACGTGCCTATTTGCTAAACATCAGGTGTTAAACATATGATATTTTGGAAATATACAGTCATGCACAAAAGTCTTGTAACATCCAGTTTAGCAAATTTCAAAGTGTAATAACTTTTTTGCAAAGAGGCGAATTCCCAAACAGTTTTTGTTTTTCAGTTGTCAAAAATTTCTATTTTTATATGCAAGAAAAACTTTATTGAAACGATTAACAAAAATTAAGAAAAACAAATAAAAACAAAAAACGGGCGTATTTTTGATGCTCAAAACTCTTGTAACATTTGAAAAAAACATAGAAATTATCAAATTTTTAATACTTCGTTGGTCCACCTTTTGCTTTGTTGACTTCCTGGATCAGCTTTGGCATTGAATAAACTAAATCGCGTAGAATTTGGGCTCCCAGGGATGACTGGGTACGGCGAATGAAGAACCAAAACTCTATCTTCGAGTTGAGTCGCTTTCCCTCCAGCTTCGACTTCAAAAAAGCCCAAAGATGCTCAAATCTGGGCTGTATGGAGGAGCTGAGATAAGTTGAACACGATTTGCTTTGAACCATCCTGGAAGACGAGCTTTTCCACCATTTGCGAGAGTGACGACCCGGCCCATTAGCAATTGACTCTTGTGGCAAGGCGCATTATCCTGATAAAGCAGCCATCCAGGGCCCATTTTTGCAATTGAAAATGGCAGAAGATGATTTTGGAGAACTGATTTGTAGCCATCAGCGTTGAGCGTTGAGTTTAGTAGCACTAGCGGACCTGGTGAATTTCTCGACATTGCACCTAAAAGACAGAGTTGAGAGTGTGCACCACAAAAGTAGCCCTTACCCCAAAGCATGATTGATCTTTGGCCAAATTTCACGATTGGTCGCACATATTTGATGTTGTACCGCTTTCCTATTGGTCTTCTGATCAAGTGGTTGTCATCCGGGCGAAAAAGATTGGCTTTTGACTCATCAGTAAAAATCACATTTGCCCAATCATTTTGACACACTTCTTTGCAAACTCCAAACGAATCTTCCGATGCTTGGCATTCATCATGGGCTTCTTGGCTGCTCTTCTTGTCACCAACCCACCACGAATCAAGCGTCGGCTCACTGTCATTCGATACATCCTTGATACATCCTTGCCGAATTGACTCTTCATCATGACGACTCCATCGCTCGCATTGAGATCCTTGTTATTTTTGTGAGCTTTGACGAGCGCTTTATCCTCTCTGGGTGTTGTAATTGGTGGATGGCCTGATTTTGAAGTTCGGTGAACAGATCCAGTCGTTTTGAACGTCCCGACAATTACAGATACCGTTTTTTCACTGCATTTGAAGAGAGCTGCCACATCTTTCCTCTGAATTCCTTTCTCTCGCACTTCCACAATTTTTTCTTTGTCCCGAGTTGACAAATATTGTCCAGGCATCTAAAAAAAATAATTTTTTGTTATATAAAAAGAAAATAAAAACAAAAACAAAAAAAAAGCAAAATACTTCAAATGTTACAAGACTTTTGAGCCTCAAAAATACGCCCGTTTTTTGTTTTTATTTGTTTTTCTTAATTTTTGTTAATCGTTTCAATAAAGTTTTTCTTGCATATAAAAATAGAAATTTTTGACAACTGAAAAACAAAAACTGTTTGGGAATTCGCCTCTTTGCAAAAAAGTTATTACACTTTGAAATTTGCTAAACTGGATGTTACAAGACTTTTGTGCATGACTGTACTTTACTACTGTATTTCCTCTAATAAACGCCCCCCCCCCCAACTTTGGACGCTTCGTTCTCAGCCCCACTTTAAGATATTGCTATGTTTAATATACCAAAAAATAGAAGATATTAAGGGCTGTCATTTGGTATATTAAACATAGAAATATCTTAAAATGGGGCTGAGAACAAAGCGTCCAAAGTTGGTCGAAGGGGGTGTTTATTGGAGGAAATATGGTATGTTCATTTTCAGCGAATCAGAGCCGTTTGTCGAGCAATTTCTCGAGGTTCAGTACTATTCTCTTGAGATTCCCGTCAAATGCGCACCAAAGATTGTGCTGAATGCAACGGATAAAAAAGGACCTGGTAAGGTTTTCATCCTATTTGTTTTTTCCTTTGGATCTTCGATTCCTTAGTTGGACTTATTTTAAGATTTTACTCAAGAAATAGCCTTGATTGATATTGATATTTCATTAAGGGAACTAGTGGAAATAGTCTCAAATGAATTATTAAATGACTGAATTTGTCAGGTTTAAACAATCTCAAACTATTTCTGTTCAGATTGGTATGAAGAAAAACAAGAATTATGCGATGGAACAGCGATTGTCACCTCACAAGCCTATTACGATGCTTTACACACACCCGACGCCGCCTACGTTCTCAATCGGAATATCTTTTGCAGTAAGTTTCAGTCAATCGCTTTCTAGCTGCAAACTTTTGAAAAACATATTAAAAGAATTAGCAGAAGAACTGAAATGCTTTTGTTAAAGCATTCTCAAAAGCGAAAATCCCTTTCAGATGAAGAATCAATCGATGTGATCGTTGAATTGATTGGCATTCTTGACGATTTGCCTCTGAATATAACTTGTTATGATAGTGAGAGGAACATCGTGAATTTGTGAGTTTTACATTGAATTTGAGATACAGAACACATTGCGATAGTTTATAAAATAGACATGTTTCGGAAACGTACTGAATGTGCAATATGAATGTGCAATATGCAATAATCCTGAATATGAAAAAGAGTTTAGCAATCAAGTTTGGCGAGATCCAATAGACGGTTACACATTCTGGGGAATCAGCTCGATTCAGGTGAGATTTTACTCAAAAGCCGGCTGTTTTAACAGTATTTTTCTGGTGATTTGGCTTTACTGCATGTTTTTCTCACAAAAAGCTCTTGGATCTGGCTTATGGACGGGCTCTGGCCTTACCCTACCTTGCCTAACAAAGCTTACGAGGGAATGTTCTCAGCTCAAAGTTAAGAATCGACTCGAGACCGAGTGCATCTTATAGAATCGGACATGGGGATTCTGAAAGAGCAAAAATTAGCGGCTAACTCAAACGCAGGGAATCTGGTATAGAAAACTCGGTTAAATTTCGGACTCTTTATGGCACCGCCAAAAGAAAGCCTCCAAACGGCTCCGTCGGTCTAGCGGCTAGTGTGCTAGTTGACGGAACCTATGACGTTTGTTGGCTTGAGTTCGAATACTCCCTGGATTCGAATGCGATTGGCAGCTAATTTTTGCAGATTCAGAATCCCCAAATCCGCTTCTATAAGATGCACTCGGTCTCGAGTCGATTCTCAACTTTGAGCTGAGAACATTCCTTCGTTAGAGAACTAGAGACCGGTAATCATTAAAACATCACCGATCAAGATTCGGTTTGCAATTCACATTGAAACCGTTTCCCAACAAAAGCTTTTGTTAATGAAATTCTACTATTCCAGTTTGATTGGAAATGGAGTACCTATTGTCCATACGAAAGATTCGGAATGGCGGTCAAAGTGAGTGTGAGTCGAGTGAGTGAACGAGTTTTGACAACAACACCCGAAGAAACGACAACTGAACTCATCACAACGGTTTACGATGATTTCACGGCGAAAAGAAGAACGACAAAAGTGACTGTAACTGCAATAACGAGTACGACAAAAGATTCCAGCAATCCGGAAAGTACCAAAACAAATTCTGGATCCGATTTCAAATGGTTCTTGCCTACTGTCGCCTCTTTCGTGCTTTTGATCTTCATTCTGTGATAATTGTAAAACTGTCAGCTTGTTATATTTATTAGACATCATTTTATTTTAGCTCATAGCTTAGCGGAAAACTTTGTTTTTCCATAAAATTCTTTGACTCCTATACATCCATTTCCTACCTTCCATAAAATCTTGTACAACGAATTCGGTTAAAGCTAAGAAGCTGGAATTTTGTCTATAATTTGCCCAACTTTTTGTGCTTTATCTTTTTTCTATTAACACCAAAGTAGGTTTCTCTTGAAGAAAGTGTTCAAATTACACTGTCGAAATTCCAAATTACACCCCCAATTCCAGTGATCATTAAGGGCTCAAAGCACTCAAAATCCTTTCGTCGATTCATATTCTCAAAAAAATCTCTCAAAATTCCCATTAACGTCAGATCACTTCTCTCATTCTCGAAAAGCCGTTCACCCTTTTTGTCGAGAACAAATATTTCTCCTCAAACGTTTTTTGCCGTTTTTGATGGTCGGCAACTGAATGACTCTAGTCTTATCCCAACGAAGAGCTAGGATCACTTTTTGAACGATTTCAACAATTTTGTGACTTTCGGCATTCAAAAGCAAGAACAACAAAAAGCTGCTAATTTCATAAATTAGGTTTCCAAAATTTTTCTAATTTTCCCAAGAAAACCTTATTTTTGGGTTTACAAGTTTATTTATAACGAAAAATAGGATAGATAGATACTTTATTCATTTGATTGAATAAGCGAAAAAATTCTTATATTTTAGACAGAATACAAGAGAAGTACATCAAAGAAACGAATAATAAACAATATAATGCCAGCAAAACATAGCAATAAAACATCAATGATCGATCATTTCATCAGGCTTGAGGTAGAAAGCGAAAAAATAATCCGTGGACAACATGTAGATGCAATCTCTCGTCGCATTGATACTCCGTAGGAAACACGGAGTTTTCATCTCCAAAACGGGATCACCGTATAGCCAATACAAATTATCGTTTGCCAATGCAATGAATGGCTGACGATTTTTCCTACTGATTTTTTTCATTCCTGGATATCCCGTAAGAAAAGCAAAGGTTTCAGCCTTCATATCGCGCATCAATGTGCCGTAAACTGCAACAGAAGCTTCGGGGTTTTTGCTCGGAATACCGTGGTTGACAATCCATTGAATGGCTTCCACCGAGTTGAGACTTCCGCGGTCAATAAATTCAACATGCTTGATGTGGGTCTTTATCGAAGCCTCGTAGTAAAAGTGGAAATAATCATGACTGTCACATTCAAGGTCGACTATCTCACATTCGTTGAGTTGAGTCTCAATGAAATGCTCAACAGGACCATGTTTTGATAGAGCTCCTGCGGGGAAGATGATGCAAAGACGCGCGTATTCCTTGATTGACATATGAAAAAACAACACAAAGTTCTGAGACGTGCAGTGAAATAACTTGAGTTGATTCGTTGCCTCTAATTGTTTCTGAAATGTTGTGTATTCCTCGCTAGGTCAGTCGTGAACATCGTACACGTCCAATTTGTCGCACGAGTGAATGTTTTTGATGAAAGGAAAATGACGAACGACATCCAGCTGATCCTAGATGAAAGCCAATTCAGCTTCCGGATCTCAATTGCTTCAATTTCGTGTCGACCCCAAGGAAAGCGAATCGCCTCCACGTGATGTCCAAAAACGATCGATGGTCGATCCGAAATCATCCATTGGAATCCTTGATTGACTTTCACCAATTCAATCACATCTCCTGCATCCAATTGCTCCAAAATCTCCAACTTCAGATCGAAGCAAAGACGTTCGATTGGAAAGGTTGTCAGATTTCGCACCTCGAATGGCATCTTGATTGGCACCTTTCTACCTGTAAATAAAAAGAATTAGTCTTTGTAAGGAGCAGATCAATGCAATGGATCACTTTCAGCATTTTAGTAGCAAAAGCTTGTTTTCTAAAGCGTGAATGATAAATTTCCAATAAAAGATTTGTTGAAATGCTAAAAGCGACCCATTGCACGGGTCTAGTACCGAAAAAGATAGAAAATGAAATACACACGCATAAAAACATTTGTTCTAGTTGAATTTTAACAAGATCCCAAGTCTATCTTATACATTATTGGGTGAAATTTGGCACGGTTTGCTATAAAAATGTTAAAAATAGCACAAAACACTGAAATCTAGACAAATTCATGAAAAAAAGTCAATATTTTAAACAGGCAAAGTGCTTTAAAATGGTGTCTAGTGCGTAAAATATGATTTGTCAAATTTAAATCATTTCACATTAAGAAACAGCTTTTAGCTAAAAAAAATGGGAAATTCTAGACAATTCTAAAAAAAAGACCTCGGCGGATGTCAAAAAACCCGGATGATTTGATGAATAGAATTTTTGGTGATTTCAAAATTCTCCGAAACAAACTTTAGTTCAAATCTGAGCGGCACAACGGAAGATCCATGGCGCTGTAGCCGTCATTTGAGCACAAGCAGAAGGATAGCACTCTTCCTAAAGTATACATTATTATCTTCTTAAAAAAAACGGCTATACCTGTAACAAAAGTGCCAGCCCGTTCAAAGAAGAATCCCAAGGAGGTATACACATCGGAGAATATTCTTAAATCCGTTAATTTGAAACGAAGGTAGGAGAAATTCTTTCGGAATGGTCCATTTCAGAGAACAAATCGTCGAAACTCTTGATTCACCTGCAATAAACTTAACATTTCTTCAAACGATAGATATTCAATTACATCGACTTTCAGCGATGTAATTTAGTGAATTACTATAGAAATTTGAACAAAGAGTCATTCCTCGGATAAAGATTAAAGTCAAGTAGATAATCAGTGTTTAATGTTTCAGTTCCCCGCCTTGATTTATTAATTGATTTATGCAAAATAAATTTAGCAAATAAGTGAAATGCTGTGCTCTCAGATTTGAAGGCTAAAATTTAAACCAAATTTTATTCCAATGATTCAAACGAAGACGATATGCTCTTTGAGTGCTTCTTTTTGAGATTGACCGAGAAGATGTTGAACCAAAAGAGTATTAGAAGGGTAGACGATTTCATCTTGACCATCGGTGGCAGCATCATCATCATCTTTTGCATCATCAGCAAAAGAAAAATAGATATTGTCAAGATCACTACAGAAATCTTTACTGAAAATAAATTAAAAACATACATTCAATCTCAACGGGATTCGGGTTTGGGACGTGGGATGTGTCGACTTGGACTTGGAAGATCCTGAGCTGGAAGATTTCTTGACTCCGCTAAACTTCCCAATAGAAACCAAATATAGATAACTAGTAGCTTAGTTGCTTTCTTGCATAAAACACCTACAAGAATTTCAACTTTTTCTTCAAAGCCTTCTTTCAGCTTTTCCAAAAGATCTCCAAACACTTGTTTCAAACCACTTACATTATCCAGTAGCTCTTCTTCGTGTGTACTCACATCACCAGTTAACTTGCCAGTCACCTTTTGCAATTTCTCCGTCTCCGCAACGAAAATTTACCCTGGAAATATAAAAATTAGCGTTGTAGACGGAAAGTAATCGAAAACAAAGCAATATAATAAACATGGGTTTAAATTTGCGAATAACGATCGTAGGGAAAGTAATTTCGGAGTTTCATGCGCAGGAAATATGCCGATACTTTCAAAAATCAAAATTCTTCGATACATGGGGAAAATTAATGATTAATATCACAAATGAATTATTCTTGGTCCGATTCATTGAACTAACGTTGTTCAAAACGCCTCTGCAAGTCTTTCTATTCGACTTATGTTTCCAAAGAGGTCAAAATTTACCCTTTCTCTCGGGTCATAGGAGTCGGATCAACCGTTTCTCCTACTAACAGATCCTTTTCAGCCTTTCTGTTCAACTGGATCTTTCATTTTGCCTCTTAGTTCAACCACTGTCCTTCCAAAGGCTTTTGGATCGCAAAACCTCTTGACGATTTTTTTCTGGCAGAAACGAGAATCCCCGACGTTTGCCGAAGAAAGCCACGGGGACCGGGAGTCGAAGAACGAGTGGAGTTGGTGGGAGCGCCGTCGTCGTCGTCGTGATGCGGGGCCATCTGAAAAAATGGAAAATTAAGTAGTAATAGAGATTAAATAGGAAAATTTAAGTAGTAGTAAAGTTTTACCTTGTTGGAGGGGCCCGGATGATCGGAGTCGGAGGCGGACTCAGCTTCAGCGATCGCCTTCAGGCCACTCCGAAGCAGATAGCCCGAACGACGTCGCTTTTGCTGAGTGACCGCAGCGGCGGGCGATTTGGCTGGCGTCTGCTGCACCACGGGGAGGGAGGATTGAAGTGATTGAAGGCATTTGAACCTGAAAGTAATTAGTAATCTTTTATTAATTGAATACACACACAAAGACTCTTAGAAAGCTATTGATAACTAAAAATAATCTACAGGGCATGAGTGATCCATCGACCATGATGTAACGTCGAGCTTCGTTGAGTTTGTAACGGAACTTCGTTGGAGCTTTGAGTTTTCGACGATGTCCCGTAATGATTAAGCTTTTTAAACCTTTCCATAGAGGCTAGAAATATTTATTGTTGTAATTAAATCAAAATTGGTATAAGTCCGAAAAGTCAATAATTATATTTTATTCTATCAAAATTCTTGTTATTTTATTGCTCTTATATCAGAAATTTTCAAAATTTAACATAAGTTCAATTAAAATCTTGTCAATTTCTATTTAAAACACTAAAAAATTTTACTGAATGTTTAAGGAGAAGGGGAGAAATTAAAAACATTATCAATCAAGAAAAAAACTTTAGAGAAAAATAAAAAATCTTACTTTATCGCCCAAACGACTGAGAGTTCTGATGAGTTTGTCGGAAGAGGTGAGCTGAAATTGTTGAATCATCATTCCTTCCAGTTCGGCATCCCCGGGGATTGACTTCATCCGCACTCATGTGAATCCAGGCGAAGACTACTTTCAGCGCCATCAACTCTTTCTCACGATCCAAATTGTTGATCATCTAAATTTAAAAATTTAAAAGAAGAACATGAAATGTTAAAATAAATCGAAAACACAATACGTAAAGCGACGATTTCAATTTAAATTTATTCAATTTCCTTCTAAAATATTCAAAGTTAGACCGAATGTTTCAAAGGGGAGACATAATAACAAAACATTCTAGATCCTCTGTGATTTGAAAAGAGAAATTTCGAAAAGAAATTGTAATTGTTAAAATATTCAGAATAACAATCTTATTCAAATTAAACGACTGCAATCCTTCCAAATTCCGTTACGAGTCTCGGAGTTTGAAAACTTTTCTAATTTCTAATTTAGAAAAATACAGTGTGGTGCAAAAAAAATTGGGCCTGTCCTCGGGAGAAGATATTTTGCAAAGAATAAAAAAATTTCAATAAAAGTTTAAAAGCAATTAGGGGCTTTAAGTAGCTCATTATTTCTAGTTTCCATAACGCATAATCATAAGACGTAACGATTTATCATTTTAGTGAAAAAAATACATTATCCAAAATATGGTCTGAAACAATGGTGCAAAAAAATGGGCCAAGATAGAAAACAGACATAATATCAATACTTCGTCGGTCCTCCGTTTGCATTAATGACGGCCTTGATTCGCCTAGGCATCGAGAGGACAAGATCACGTAGGATAGTCGGGGAAATTTGACGCCACATGTTTCTGATAACGGTGAAGATAGTGGAAGCGATGAACAATGGAGGAAACAGCTGAACTATCGGAATTCTCTTTGGATGCGGGAAAAGTACCGTGAATCGTCTTGTAGCAAAAGCAAAAGCCGGTGGAAATCTTCACAGAACTCCAGGAAGTGGCCGACAACCAGTCACAACTCCAAATGAAGATCGATCGATCATCAGGGACCATCGAAAAGACCCAACTCTGACATCGAGTCATGCGATCAAGAAGCTGAAGGCCGTTTTAAACAAGGATATCTCTCGTTGAAGCATCAACAAGCACTTGATTCGAGCTGGATTGTAGGCAAAAAGGCCAGCCAAGAAGCCCTTCATGGTTTTCAAGCACCGGAGGATGAGTTTGGCTTTTACAAAGAACTACGAATTCTGGACTGCTGACGATTGGGCTCGAGTTGTTTTCACCGATGAGACCAAGATCAATATTTACTACCCGGACGGCCACCATTTGATCAGACGACCGATTGGACAACGCTACAAGCTCAAATACCTGAAACTTAAAGTGAAATTCGGTGGGGGAAGCATCATGCTATGGGGTAAGAGTTTGTCTTGATTTTGACTTACAGTTTGTTCTGTTTAGGTGCGATGACACGAGATTTGCCCGGTTTTCTTGTGCTCATCAACGGAGCGCTCGACGCCCAGGGATATAAATCGATCATTGAGAATCAATTATTGCCCTTCTCCAATGCAAACATGCCAAATGGATGGGTCCTATAGCAAGATAGTGCTCCATGTCATAAGGGACAGCTGCTGATGGGTAGGGTTGTTCGGCTCGCAAATGGAGGAAGGGCTCGTCTACCCGGATTTTTTGCTGCTCATCGAGTTGAACTGATCAAGGCCCCTCCGTATTCACCGGATTTAAGCGTCATCGAACATCTCTGGGCTCATTTGAAGACCAAAATCAAGGGAAGGAGCTTCAATTCGAAGGTGGGGCTCCGGCTCGTTATCAGAAACATGTGGCGTCAAATTTCCCCGACTATCCTACGTGATCTTGTCCTCTCGATGCCTAGGCGAATCAAGGCCGTCATTAATGCAAACGGAGGACCGACACAGTATTGATATTATGTCTGTTTTCTATCTTGGCCCATTTTTTTGCACCATTGTTTCAGAACATATTTTGGATAATGTATTTTTTTCACTAAAATGATAAAAAAACCAAAACGTCTTATGATTATGCGTTATGGAAACTAGAAATAATGAGCTACTTAAAGCCCCTAATTGCTTTTAAACTTTTATTGGAATTTTTTTATTCTTTGCAAAATATCTTCTCCCGAGGACAGGCCCAATTTTTTTTTGCACCACACTGTATTAGTTGTAGTTTGAATCAGAGTCGGTCCTACAGGTTCCAAACCATAGCTAGCTAGGCCAGGCTGTATGACCATGTTTCTGGCCCTGCTTAGAACACCAAAACTTTTTTCCAATTTAATTGGGAAATTCTCCATTAGAGTGTATTGTTGTGTTTTCTGAAAGGAAAAGTCGATAATTTGGACAATACTGTAGTCTTCTTATATTCTTGGTTACATCGTTCTTCGCTTCACTTGTTTCATGCTTTTTGTCTGATTTTATGATTTGAATAAATTTAAAAAAGATTTATCAACAGAACAAGTTACAATTAACAAAGAATTTTTAAGAAGAAATGGTCAAAATTCTGGCATTGTGGCGAATGCAGAAGCGCGAAAATGAATTGAAAACTTGAAATTGAGTTATTGACTAGGAAATTGTCTTCAAATGACACTTTATTTCAAAATATTTGTATAAAAGTCAAACGTTCCCAAGATTTCCTTTAGTTTTTGAATGTTTGCACGATACAAAAGACACGAGCGTGTTTACGATCATCCTGAACGATAATTGCCATCAAAACGCGATAGTAATTAGGGGAAAACTTGTGCACAAAGTACTTTTGTTTGGACATATAAAGTGGATATTGGTCAAGAAAATAAGTTAGCTTTTTCATTTCTTCGGCAAACGTCGGGGATTCTCGTTTGTGCCATAAAAAATCGTCAAGAGTTTTTGCGAATGGTGAAGCCTTCGAAATCTCCTCGACTCTTTCGCTTTTCGAGATCATTTTTGTCATTTCCTCATAATAACATTTTTGGTTTTTTAGTCCGTCTGAGTTCCAATCAATAAATTCATGAATGAAAGTGATTTCATTTTTGATGGGAAAATCAATAAAATGGCGAAAACCATTGCTCCAAAAATCAGAAGCTCCATCAAAACTCAAAAAAATAAGCTCAATTGAAGAGCGGGTTTCCGGGAGCAAATTCAAAAGATCTTCAGGTGAAGTTCTCCTACACTGCCATGACAAAACTCGGCATTGCTTTTTCGATTCCAAAGCTTTCAACTCATTCCTTAACGGCTCGGCGAACTTTTGAATCACTGCGCTGTCAATATTCAACTCCAATTTCTCAAAGTGGTCCAATTCTGAGATCAGATTCAAAATATTTGTTGTCCCTAAATGAAAATTCAACCTGAGTTCTCGGAAATGAAGTTTATTCCAAAATTTTCCGAATTCCCGCCAACTTTCTATTGGAAAGTCTTCTTGATGCCAGGATTCTATGGAAAAACGAATGGGTTGAAGTTTCGACAAAGAATTCAAAAAGATCCTTTTGAAATGTGTGGGCAAATCAGAACGGCAAAAACTTTTGTGGCGTTCGGGGTTTTTCTCGGAGTCGGCGTTAAAGTGAAATGTGGTTTTATTTCCCTCGAGTTTGAGAAAAATGAAAGTTAAAGGAAAGATGGAAATTCGCAAGACGATCTCCATTTCGAAAACGGGTTTTGTTTTGAAAAAACCGCTGGAAAGTATTCCCTTAGTTCGACACTCGAGACTTTTGATTCTCCGCGGAAAAAGGCGATTCTTGAGATACCATCTTCGAATTTCTTTGTTGATTTTTAACATAGTTGGCTTGAATTCCAAATAGTTGAAGATTTCGTGGCGAAGCTGGACAGGTAGAGATGAGATTTGGAATTTTGAAGGCATTTGGCAAAGGATATTTTGGTGAAAATTAGTAAAATATCGGATTCTAGGGTTTTTCATTTAAATAAACAATTACGAAAAAAGCGGGAAAAAGTGGGGAAAATCTGGCTGATTTTGCCGTTGGCCGGAGCTCAATTGGCTGAATTTTTGAAGATAAGCATTAAGGTTAATCAACTGGTGATCCATCATTCCACTTTCCATTCCCAACACTTCCCACTCGATCTAGAGTCAAGGTTAGCAATAAAAACTTGATTTTATGTTGTGAATAACTAGAATTGGATTAGAGAAGTCATTTAGCTTTTGGTTTTTTGTGCAGCAATGCTGCATTCCATCTTGGTTAAAGAATTCAATTAAAGCTTTTTGACACCGGCATTGTATTTAAGAATGAAATCAGATTAAAAAGAATACTTTATTGCAGAATAAGTTAATTCTCTTTTACTGAACTATTGATTTATCTAGGATGCATGATTCCTCGTCCACCATCAACTCTCAAAAGATCGCCCGTTGTGAATGAACTGTCCTCGGAGGCTAGGAAGTAGATTGCCTAAAACAAAACAATACACAAATTCTCGATTAATTTATAAACTCATAGCTGAAAAATAGCATAGATAGCTGAAAATTTTAGAACTTGATTAATGCAGCACAAACCTTGGCCACTTCTGAAGCCTCTCCTGGTCGACCAAGAGCATGAGTTGTTTTTGAGCGTTCCAGGAACTATAAAGTTTTAATAAAAGCTCAATAAAGCTATTTTATTAAGGTTTAAATCAGTATTTAAAAGTAAATGAGGTTAAAATTGCAATATTTGTCGATTAAGCCAACCGTTTTATAGGTTTCATCATCTTGACCGGCTCGGCGATGCAATTCGGTCACGGTGACACCCGGGCTGAATAGTTGCATTGAAATGTACAAATCTCTTTATTCAGTCTGTTTAAGTGGTTGATATGTCAAATATTAAGCTGTCCAGTAAATCTTTTCGTTCCTTTTCGTACTTCTTTTTGAAAAATAACAAATTCACCAATTAACCTATGGTTTGCTTTAAATAAAAAGTGTTTATTGTTCAATTTCCAATCTATTGAAGAATAATTGGTCTTTTTAATGAAATAAACCGTAGTTCAATTGGTGCATTTGTTGATTTTAAACGGAAGTACTAAAAGGAATGAAAAGACTTTCTGAACAGCCTAATATAAGATACACTTGGTCTCGAATCGATTCTCAACTTTAAGCTGACAATGAGGCCATTCTCTTGCTTTTCAGCTTTTCCAGACAGCTTTTCCTTATATTTTAATCCAAAAATGATAGGTTTGATCTATAGAATTGTAAAAACTTCACAAAGCATTTCATTCTATGCCATTAAACAATATTTAGATGAAAAAAAGGTTTGTATTTCAGTTGAAGAAGCATTTGGTCTGCCCAAAAAATAGTAAAAACAGCCTAATAAATAAAATAACGCAAGCACAACGAAATTTTCCAAATTACTCACCAAACTGCATTCACTCGAACACCGTGTGGAGCCATCTCTAGAGCCAAGCATTTCGTGAATTGATCAACTGCTGATTTTGACATGCAATAGTAGGTGACATTCGGGAACTGTAAAGGATAGGATTTTCTCGTTTTGCCTGCATTCATGTGCACCTGTGCATCAGCTTCTTCAGTGACTTCGCAAAGTCAGTGGAGAACAGCTAACTACAGTTGAGTTAGATTAGATAGAGTTAGATTTTCTTCAATACCTTACAGTTAGCTTCATTCTGACGGAAAATTTGAATTCTTAGCTCTCAACTGGATCTGTTTTTCACTGACTTTTAGAAGTTAGTGAAGAAGCTGATGTGAATGCTTAGCTATTGATTTAACTTACTGGACAAGGCCCATTGATGCTGCTCACATTCACAACGGTTCCCTTGGTTTTGATGATGTGTGGAAGGGCTTCTCGAGTGAGACGAACCAAGCTGAATTGAAAGAGGAATATGATTATCGGATAAATTTAAATGCTTAAACAGATGTCTTAAATGAAATCGTTGTGTCCATTCTCTACCTCCTCACATTGCAGTCCATCACCCGATCATATACATCAATATTGCTATCCAGGATACTTCCCGTGGTCAAGATTCCAGCCGAATTGATCTGAAAGGGGAAATATCTAGATATATCTCTAATAGAGCTATTTTATAGCTAAATTTATCTAGATATTTAGATATTCCGTTTCAAACCAGCGTATCAATTTGTCCGAATTTCTCCAAAGTGTGCGAGACGATTTTTTTGGGAGCGGTGTCCGCCGAGAGATCCGTCACAGCGTAAGTGACCTGGGAAAATTGGAGTAAATATAAGTTTATCTAGATTGATCTTTAAGATATTTAAACTATATTTAGATTACAAATCTTTTAATATAACTTTTATTCTGAATGTACTTACATTTTCCGCAGCAATCCCCTTCTTGATGCATTCCGAAGCGAGGTCCTTGAGAGCGCTCTCATTTCTAAAAAATGGCTGATGAATAGATTGTTTTGGCTTGACTGGCTAAGTATTCAAAGTCTAAAGATATATAAATTTATTTAGATAAACATATCAAATAGCTTTTAAAATAAATTTACATACTTTTTGCGTATGAAACGTTTGTTTCAAGCTAAAATCTATGTAAACGTTTGTTTTGATTTATTTGTACTGGGTTTTAAAATGTTTACTGATGGATCTAGTGCTTACAAAAATTGCTTACGGTTTTAAGTAACTTATAAGTTGGTTTTAAGATTATTTACCTTCCCGTTAACGTCAATCGGAATTGTTTTGTCGCAAAGAGAAGCGCGGTCGCTTTGCCGATTCCCGATGAAGCGCCAGTGATGATTGCCACGCGACTTGCAGCCATTTCACTGGAAATATAAAATAGTAAAACAAAATTAGTCAATCAATCTTTGAACAATTTGAAACGATCAAACTGAAAAAGAGCTGATAAGAGGTTTTTGAGAGAGTAAGCGATTCTTTGCTGGCTACGGTAGAAGAGATGCATTTAACGAAAATCGGATTGTGCTAGAGGTGACAAGAAATCCAACTAAATGTGTAATCTGAATCTTTTTGTTGGCCTTTAAACTTTTTACTTTTTACTCGAAAAGGCTTGGGCACTTCTATTCGATTCTAGTAAAGGTTTTTATCCATTTCAACTATTGTAACTTGTGTGCAAGTATGTATAAGACTATCATAGTTATTCTACTTCATTTAAATTCCCTAGTATGACTCTTTTTCTTTGTTTCAACAAATCGGTAAAGACTTTTGTACCACTTTTATTCTTTTTAGGCTTTAGGCACACTTCTATTCGATTCTAGTAAAGGTAGTGAAGGTTTTTATTCAATTCCAACTATTGTAATCTGTGCACAAGTATGTATGGATCTCCAATACCTTCTCGCCACGATCGATGCTTTTCTACGTTTGGACGCCTGTGTAAAAGTATTGGAGATCTATTTGAAAAGGAATAGTTTTTATGAATTGTTATGAGATAATAAAAGTTATTTTTAAGAAAAATCTTTGACCTTTTGAGTTGTTTTTTATACAGAGACTTTTTTATATGTAACGGTAATTTTGGCCCAGCCTGTTCTAACCCCACCCAGGAATGCGCGATCATCGTCTGCAACTGTTCGATTGAAGAAGTGCATCGAGGCCAAGTGGAAATTTTGAACCTTTGTTATGATTTTTTGTTAGTTTTGTCTTCAATAAACAATTTGTTATCGTTTTTTGATTAATCTTGCCAAAGTTTGCAACTTTTATTTCTCTTAGAAAAAGTGGCAGAACTTTTGCCGCACCCTGTACATCCACAGAGACTCAACTCGGTTAAGCAAGGAGCTGACAACTTGTGAGGGGTGATTATGTTCAGTAAAGGAGAGTGCTCGCTTGAAGTGATCAGTTGATCAGTCGAACAAAAATCGATAACCAAGAAGACTCGGATGGGGATGCTTAATTGAGATGAGTCTTTGTGGGTGTATAACCGACAAATACCCAAACTTCTGTAACCCACATCAAGACAAAACGCCTATCGACTACGCTGAAAACGATGATGAAATCCGTTTTTGCCAATGAGCAATAGTTTTTAGATCTTTTTTCTATTTCAGGTTTGACCTTTGATTATCTTAAGACTATTTTAAGACTTATAGTTACAGGGGAGGTGGCTGAGCCGGCCAAATGCTATGCGACCTATACCATTCGACGCAGAATTTTATGATGATTCCAAAAATGTATTCCGTTTTTGCTAAATGACAATCTGCTAGGAGTTATAAGCGTCTAAAGTTTTCTTAGGACTGTGGTATTCTCCGTGTGGTCAGTTGGATCTTAGCGGCCTCCTTGCGGACTTGACTCGGTGCTGCTGTGGCCGAGTGATACAGCGTTCAGAGCGAGACCCTCACAAGTTCGATTCCCACTTTGGATTCCTCTCCTTTGTTTTTTTTTTCAAAAAGTGCTGTCTAGTGTTCTTGACCGGCTCAACCAGTTGACCTTCCCTTGTTAGTTTGGTTTAGAAATGTTTAGATCCAGTTAGACCTAGGATCTTGCTGTTAATTCATTTGTCTGTTTTGAAAAGGATTCATCAGATATGAGGCAATGCTTCAAGGCTAGTTTTGGTCATTCAACCTAAATGATTCAGAAGGAATTTATTCAAATTCAATCAAAACTGATATAGTCTACTCAACTGACCGATTGAGACTGTAATAGTGTGGTACGGCTGAAAGAATATGATTATGATTGTCATTTTTGTTTCATCAAATTTGTCGGTTTAATTTGAAGGACTGCTGAAGTTGGCCGTGAGTTGGAAATTCGAAAAAGTCTAGGGAAAAACTCAAAAATCTAATTTTCATGAAGCACTTACCCAAAAACACTTTTGATTCGTCTTTCACAGTAGCGTCGATACGGTTGAGTGAGGGTGATCATCAAGATAGAGGTTATCTTTCCGTGACACATCAGCAAGAGATTGTTGATGTTGAGGAATTCTAAAAGTCAGTGTAATCAATTGAATTTTTGTATGTTAGCTGTCAGCTAAGACAGCTTTAACTCGAAATTGCTGAATTGTCCAATCCTAGTTTGGCCTAGCCAATAGCCAATGGACAATGGACACAATTGGAACATTGCTGACGTCGCCTACAGGCAAGATTGGACGATTGGACGAATTGGATTGTGACGACGAGTCACCAAAAAGCTACCGCAGTCTAATAAGACACCAGAAATACCGTGCCCGAAGCAATATCGCGTTCAAACGCGTATAAAAAAACGCCTTCTTTTCCATTTAGTCAGAATTTCCTCTTATTTGGTCTTGTGAAAGTTGTTTTCTTTTGTTCGAGATACTTTCACAGTTTTCAAAGTGATTCCTTTTTGTCTCTAAGTCAACACATTGCAATGCAATTGAGAATCAGACCTCCAAACTTTACCCTGGTTTTTGGGAAAATTGATGAACTTTCTACTTCAGAAACTCTGGATTTATAAAATAATTTGTTAGATGTTAAAATCTAAAAAGTAGACATGTCCATTTTCGAGTTTTGGCGGCCGGGTCGGGTCACGGGTCATCCGGGAAAAAAGCCGGGTCGCGGGTCGGGTCAGCGGGTCACTTTTGACCCGACCCGACCCGACCCGACCCGATCCGATCCGACCCGCTGCTCATGTCTACTAAAAAGATTTTTTAAAATGTCTTCTTTTGAATAAAAACAAAACAAAGTCTGATTGCCCAATAGGAATTTTTTTTTGTGATTTTGAAAATAACAACTTTTGACTTTTGGAACTTTTCAAAAAAAGCTGATTTTTAAAAAAATTGTCGAACGGATTTCAAAATCGTTATCGTTTTTGGAATCAGCACAAAATTCTGCGTCGAATGGTATATATTAGAAGAAATTTCATCAGAAATATTGTATATTATTGTATATTGTATACTAATATTGTTTCGCGCGGATGTGCATTGTTTCTTTGAGCTTCGTTGAAACATTTTCACACGCTTTGCCCCAATAAACTTTGTTTTGTTATTCATTGAAGCGAAAGTGCACAGGTCTAGCCATGTCTAGTGAATTCAAGGAAAAGCACACTAGTAATTCGTATAGAGCAACTAGTTTTGATAATCTCTGATGTTAAAGTGGTACTCTGGCCTAAAGGTTGACTTTTAAGACTCGCGGTCATTTATATATTATTCGATGCGTTTTAGTCTTCTCTACAACTATTTCCTATGTGAAAGACAAGGTTTCCAATCGAGAAATGAAGAATAACACAATTTACGATACGCCGTACGATCACGGCGTACGATCAATACGATCACAGCGACTCAGGTTTGAGCTTCTACGGGAGTGGGACAAATGCGACCTTTTTTTTTGCGCACCCGGACATTTGCGCACCTTTTTTTTCCGCATCTTGCCCATTCGCGCACCTTTTTTCGCGTTTTAAAAAAGCTCTAAAAAGCTAATATTAACCAATTTCTATTCCAAATGTTGTTTTTCTAGGTAATTTGAGGGTGTCGAATTCAAATTTTGACATAACAGAGCGTGTGGAACCAATTTGAACGACAAAACGCCTAGGTCAAATTACAGAAACGATTTTTCGATTTTTCCGTATGTATAACTCCGTCCGTTCGCTTCCACAAGCTCTGATATGTCAAAATTTCGATTCTACGCTGACTTTTCTGAGGCCGGAGTACCCGTTTAAGCCAAGTCTACTTGTTATTATCTATATCACCTTGCGGAATCGCAGACTCGGTCATCGCTAACACCACATAAATAGTGAGTGGGATACCAATGGTCAAAGTTGGAACAATAAACTGAAATACTATAGATAAAGAGTATAGCACTTGACTTTACCTGGCTTATTAGCGCAAAAATCAGCCTCCTATGCATTGTTTTCGTCGTTTTGCTCATGTAGCTGGATTCTTGGTTTAGCAAGTGGAACGAGTGCCAGATCAAACAAGTAATCTAACATTTTTTTGTTGTAAAAACCGATATCAAGATTGCTGAGTGATTGGCCTTGATAAATTTACAAGAAAATCATATACTATAAGCTTACAAATGAAAAAAGCTCAAAAGATGATACGATGATTGTCCACATGAAAACGCTCATACTCGAAATATTGAGAAACGGAGGTGCAAAAAGTGCTTCTTTATCAGCAACAAAAGCATTCGTATCGTATTGAAGCCAGGCTTGTTCTGGGTGTTCCTGAATTTAGTCTTCATTCTGATTCTGCAAGAATTCCTTACCCTTAACAAACTTTGCAATCCACTCGCGTTTGGTGGATGCTGCAAGGGCCAGCGATAAATTGCAGACAGCTGACCGGTCAAGTAGAAAACGAGATGAATTGCAATGAAGAATAACCAGAAAATAGAATGAACACTATAAAGTAGACTTTAGACAGCACTTAACCGTAGTAACAGTGCTCGGCTTGATCAAGGATACCCTAGACTTGGCTGAACGGTATTAATTATGTGTCTTAATTGTGTATATTAAGGATATATATGATTAAAGTGTATTAACTATGACTCGGGAAAAATGTTGGTACTAATTACTCATGACTCAAGAGGTATATGTAAACTGGTAATACCTATTTAAGCTTGTACTGACAAACTTTTGGATTTTGCTTTTCTTATTCTTGGCCTGGCATTGCAATGGACTGAAGAAAATTTGCTGGAACATAACCCAATTCGGCACTTACTTTGCCCAATGCTCCTTCGGTAGCAAAGTTCGATGTCGATGGATGAAACTGATACCAGTACCCGTCAAGTTTCCCCAGATAAAGAAAACGCCAAAAGCCTGAAAGATTTCGTGCAAAAAGTTTACTATCTATCTTACAAGTGGAATAGAGCAATTACATCCAAACCAAGTATAGAGAATTCCATATAATCTGACGGCTAATCCCGGTAT